ACCCGAGCTGAAGGCAGATGCTTAACCCACTGAGCTACCCAGGTGCCCCTCGAATTCTTTTTCATACACTGTTTGGTTTTTAGTGCTTCTTTGGTTGTATTTTTCAGTCTTGTCTCCCCAGTTAGACTGAAAGCCCACTGAAGACCCAGCTCTGTCATTTCAGATCACCAGCCTCCACACAAGTTAGTTCAGGTTTTTGGATTTCATTTTTCTCATCTACAAAATAGAAATAAAATTTCTTACCCTTTCTATGTCATGAGGTTGTTAAAAGGATCAAATGAAGTAACAAGTGTGGAAACGCTCCTAAACTGTAGTTTTTATCATTGTGAGTGACCTTTGTTAGCCCCACCTGTGGTGAGTAAATTTGTATACCTGCTTTCCTAAGATCCTTCACTTTAATCAGAGTGTAACTTCGGTTTACAGTGGACTTCGTAAATCTCGCAAGCCTGTGCTTGATCCTCAGTAAGTCTAGTAAGTTCATTCATGTTTTTTACTTTAATTGGAAGTATGAGTGTGGCTTTTTTTTTTTTTTTTTGCTCTGTTGTCTTTCTCTAGGTCGCTAGCCCGCCAGGAATTAAGTTGTCCCTCTTGCTTTTGACTATCGTCTTAGACTGCTCCTCTTCCCTAAACCTCCCTGTGTCCCAGCCAGACGGGGTGGAGGGTGTGGGCTAGGGAGCTCATGTAAGGTAGGATGACACATCTTCCAAAAAGTGGTAACAGCTGAGTGAAGCACAGCATCAAGATGTTTAAGATCCATGTGGTTAAAGTTTTAGTATGCCCTGAGAGCATGGAGTGGAGAGGAGGAATCCTAACTTCAGGTCTCCGTAGTGGACACTGTCAGGTTTCACTGTCCTCAACTCCCAAGAAAGCGACCCTCCCAAGAGGGCAAGATTGTTTTCCAAATGACAGTGTTATTGAAGAAGACTCTGTGCTTGATGGAAACTGTGTTTTCTCTCTAAATGACAGTCTGTAGGGCCTTATTAATCTTGCTGTTCCAGCATTAATGGTTCTGTATTCGGGGCTGGTGGACATGCTCCTCCAGCGAAAGTAAACTGTCTTTGCTGAACTATACAGTCTCACTCAGCAAACTGTTTCTGGTAACTAGGACTCAATTAATCAGCATTACACATTGCTAATACAAATGATCTTTAGAAAAAAAGGCCATTAGTCAATAAAAATCCCCATAATACCTTCAGAATGAAAGATTAGATGTGTGTGTGTGTGTGTGTGTAGAGAGAGACTCACATTAACTGCATTCTGAGTTCTAGTGATTTACATCGGTATTCTGTCTGGAGTATGTATGCGTAACTTGTATACTAGTGTATGCATTAAAGATGCTTAATTCAAGGTGTTTAATTTTTTAAGAATTAAGCCATTTTCTTGTGCAGATTAGAGAGAATACAGGGTGTTTCTCTGTAGAAGTGTTCAGGAAGTTGGCATCTTTTTTCTTCTCCACACTCCTCTGGGGCATAGAGTGGAGGAACAGGTTTCCAGAGGTGGCCCAGGCCTGTGATCTGTGGGCTTGTGCCCCCTCTTCTGGCTCACCAGTGTGTCCCAGGTGCCTCATGAACACATCCCCAGTCTGGTTTCTACAATTCTGCCAAATCGTGAAGCCTGTAACACTCCTCCCTCCCCCCACTTATCCAGCTGTGCCCCCATCGCTTCTAATAACGGAGAAAGTCCACGGCAACAAAGGTGGGCTTGCGCCTCTTCAGTGGTGGGCGCCTCGTCTTTGCTGAGACCTGCCAGGGGTTTTGTTCTGTCATTGAGGCGACACAATACATATTTTATACTTTAATTTATGCGTCTTATCAAGTGTCTTTTCTTAGCCAACTGTGTTTCTGTTTCAACTGTTCTCTAGTGCGGTTGCTATTCGATTGATATTCAATTATTGTTAAGTAATGGGGTCTTTGTGTATACTTGGGATTTTAGTTTTGTTTATACAGTGCAAGTGTCTTCTTAGTTGGTTGGTAAATCTTCATCTGCCTTTATGAAGGCTGACATATCCTCTCCAGGAGGGAGTAAAAGTGAGCCATGTAACAGAATCCTAGAGTGAAATGTGTCTGCAGTCTTCATTTTCCTTTGGTCCAAGCCAATCCACAATAACTGGGCAATTTGCCAAGTAAGTGTACAGGGCAGTGGCATATGCAGTCAGCTCTCAATAATCCACCGTAAATAGCAGAAAATATGAATAATTTAATCCACTCAGCTGGTCGGGAGCCCCCAAGCAGGTAACCCCCACGTCCCCTAGAGGAGCCCAGCTCTTACCGACCACCTAGGTACCAGCATGACTCCCCCTTTCGCCTGCCACCGGGTGTGGGGACCCAATTCCCCAACCGCCTGAGCCACTTAAAGAATGTCAGCTTGTCGCCATGGATGATCACAAGTCTGCTGACCTTAATGTGACAAATGTTATTTGACCCCACACAGAAATGGTTTAGAATGCACTTCCAGTGTTTTAGGTTTCATCCAGAAAGTATGGGTTCTAGCTCAGAGCCACATGTCCGTGCCCTTTTGCTCTCCTTTCTGGCAAGTCTGATGTTGTTCAGAAACAAGCAGGGAAATAATATCGCTGTCAGCCCGCTGTGGTGTAACTGTTGGGGGAAGCTTGAAGCCTGTGTGTAAAATGACGTGGGGTGTATTTAATATTTCCACTTTTTCCCTTTAGCCCAGATTGTGGGAAGTTGACAGTAAACCAGTTTTATACATCGAGCTTGTGTTGACAGTGTAAAGATTGAGTACATCCTGAGTAACTGGAGATCTAGGTCCTCGGTCTTCCTGGGTGTTTTCTCGGACTTGGGCAAAGGCACAGAGGCTGCATTCTTTGCAAACATCTTGAAGATGATTAGTAGGATTACTGCAGTATCCGGGAGAAGAAGGATTGGATGTACTCCGATAGACCGGAAAACCACACAGGTGTCAAATTAAGGTTAACGAGGGCGCCGAGGAGAGCCCTTCCATGCAGAGAAGAACACTCAGAAAGCACCAGGGCTGGGGCAGGTGCTTCACATGGAGAAGACTCGGGGGCCGTGCGGGATGCCCGCCTCTCTTGGACCTGCCACGCCATGTGGCCACTGCGCCAACCCACTAGGGTGGGTTTCTTCTGTGCAGACACACTGGCTGAGCCACGGAAGGCGGTCATTCTTCTCTCCACGGTGGGGGCCGCTTGACTTTGCAAGTATTTTTTATGGTTAATTTTAAGAGGGATATTGACAGTTTAGAAACTCTGGAGCAGGATGTCTAAGGATAGGAAAAGTCTGGAAAACATCTCAGGTGTGGGATAGTGAGAGGCAGTAGGAATGGTTGGTTGGAGAGAGGAAAGCTCACAAGTACCTGAGCGTGATCTACAAACATCTGGAAGGATGTTTATCTCCTGCTTGAGGGACTATTTATTTTATGTTGCTCAAGAGGGGAAAATTAGAATTAGTGGGTTGAGATTATGGGAAAGCAATTTGGCTTAAATCAGTATTTCTAGAAGTATGCTATACGTACCACCAGGGGTATGAGAGATTGTTTTTTCTTCATCTTTAAAAATCTTTATTTCAAAGTAGTTATAGATTTACAGAAAGGTTTCCCCCCCAAAATAATATAGAGAATTCAGGTATGCCATCAGCTAAACAGCTTACCTGATGATAGTACAGTGAGCGCACTGTGAAATTAGCCCTGGTGAAGCGCTGCTAACTCTGCTAGACCTTCTCCTGTCTCACCTGTTTTCCCACTAACAGCCCTTCTCTGACCCAGACGGGATCCAGGGCCCACACTGCACATAGTTCTTGTGCTTCTCGGTCTCTTCCAGTCTGCGTGTGATGCTAACCGGTGCTCATGACCTTGACACTTTGAGTGAATGGTAGTCAGTTACTCTGTAGAGTGTCAGTCAATCTGGGTTGTCTGACGTTTTCTGTGATTAGATGAAGGCCACGCGTTTGGCATGAAGACCACAGAGGTGACGTTACGCCTTCTCAGTGCATCAGATCAGGGCTGTGTGGTGCCAGTCATTACTGCTGGTGTTGACCTTGTCCCTCCATGAAGGTCATTTCATCCACTGTAAAGCCACTATCTTTCTCTTTGTAATTAGTAAAAACCTTGGAGGAAATGCTTTGAGGCTGTGCCAATATCCTGTTTCTCCTTAAACTTTTGCCCAGTGATTTTAGCATCTACTGGTAAATCTTGTTTGAAATAACTTTCACTGTGGCATTTACTTAATGGTGGTTTTGTATTTTCCTCATTCCTTTACGCTTGTTAATTAGAATTCGACTGAAAAGGAGAACACTAACTCTTCTCCCCCAGTGATGTATTCATTTGTTGATGTCATGGTCAGACTCCCAGGTATTTACTTTATTCTCTGGATTACAATCCAGTGCTGTTGTTACTTATTTTATTGCCCAAGTTGTTCGGCTTTGGCTTTGGCCATTGGGAACTCCTTCAGGATGGCGTGCCTTTGTCTTTTTGACGTGTCCTCATCCTTTTTAAAGAAACTTATTTTGGGTGACACAAAATGTCTCAGACTCATCTTATGCTTTCCCTGTTCCATGCCTGAACCAGCGCTTCTCCATGAAGCCTAGATTCCTTCAACGGGAGAATGGTATTTAGAAAGCAGTATCTACGTGCTAGGTATAGTCTTGCTACTACCAGGATGCCACCATGACAGCAGACAGAGCTAGAAAATGTACGTATGGGTGTATGCATACGTCCTAGTGTGTAAGTATTCGTATTTATGCTTCATACCATGTGCACGTCCACACAGCTGTATGTTTTCTCTGCCACTGTCTGGATACCTATTGAAAACTGCATTCATGCTAATACTTTCAGTCCTGATCCAGCACCCCTGGGTTCTTTTTTTTTTTTTAAGGATTTATTTATTTGAGATGGGAAGGAGGAGAGGGAGAGAGAGAATCTCAAGCAGACTCCACACCCAGCATGGAGTCCGATGTGGGGCTTGATCTCACGACCCTGAGATCACTACCTGAGCCAAAATCAGCAGTCAGCTGCTCAGCCGACTGAGCCACCAGGCGCCCCACCACTAGGTTCTTTAATAGCCTTCTCCCTTCCCTTATTTGTGACTTATCTCTTCAACAGAGAGAAACCTGGCTCTCCTTATTTACAATATGTTTACTTATTTATTCAATCCCAGTATACCAATAAAATAGTTTTGAAATTGCTAATCTGTGAGAAACAGATTAGCTAACTAGAGTCAGTATTTGCATACAGCTCTTTTTTGTCCTTAGACTTAAGAGTTTCTAGTGAAAATAGTATTTTCCAGAATTACTGAGGATTGTTCTGTATTTCAGTGTGACTATGTTATTTGTCTGTAAAATAGTTTCATATGCTACCATTTGTGTTCCATTTGGGTCTGATGTCCTGGTTGATTTAAATTTGGTACTTATTTTCGGGTATGTGAAGTGTTACTACGGTTCTAAGACTAGAGCTGTAGAATTTGCATCAAGTGTCTGCCCCCACTTTATACCTGTCGTCCCCCTTCTTTCGTACCTTTTCCCACCCACTCTCCATGGAAACCAGTGTCTTTAGTTCCTGGCACCTCCTCCCTGTATTTCCTTTGTACAGATGAGCAGATGGGTGCAGGTGTTCTCATCCCCCTTCTTGCATTGCACATCTTCTTTTGCACTTTGTCACTGTACGTCCTGGGAATCTCTGCGAGCCCACGCACAGAGGTCTTCCCCTATTTTTTACAGCTGCCTGGAGCCGTGTTGCTGAGATGGGCCGCGCTTCTCCAGCTACTCTCCAGCCTGTGCCTGTTCAGGTGGTTTCCAGTATCTTCCAGCTTAACCAGTGCTACAGGGAGTAACCTCGTGCATTCTTTTTTCCCATGTCGTTGTAGGTATGCCTACCTGACAGGTTCCTGCAGGCATAATTTCTGGGTTAAAAAGTCTCTGTAGCTTTTGTTAGGTATCACCAACTTTCCTACAGGATATGCAGCCCAGGAGACACCTGTTTCCCTACAGCCTCGCCAGCAGAGTCCGCACCACGCCTCAGCATTTTGCCAGTCTGACAGATGACAAGTGCCCGGTGGGGTCTTCTCGTTTGCTCTTCTCTAAGTGTGAGTGAGCTTGAACTTGTAAACTTTTTTGTTAATTGTCTGTTCATGGCTTTTTCCCATTTTTCTTTTGTGTGTTTGGTCCTTTGTCCCTCATTTTCTAGGAGAGTTTCATATATTAAGGGGAGTGGCCCTTTTCCTGTGGTATGTGCTGCAAATATTTTCCTCCAGTTTGTCAGTTATCTTCTGTTTTGTCTAGGGCACCGTTTTGTTTTGTTTCATTTTGCCCAGCAGACATTTTTATTTTTATGTAGTCAAATTCATCAATTTTTGTTTCATTGCTTCTGGGTGTGGAGTCATAGTGAGAAAGTCTCCCTATACTGACGGCTCACCCATGTTTTCTTCTAGGAATTCTATAGTTTAATTTTCTTACATTTTTAGATCCTTAATCCATTTGAGGTTTATTCTTATATATGATACAAAAGACACATCTGATTTCATCTTTTTCCAAATGGCTACCCAGTTGTCCCAGCACCATGTATTAAAAGGTCCCATCTTTATCCCAGTGACTTGTGATGGCAAATTTCCATATATATTCAGGCTTATTTCTGGACTTTTTTTTCAGTCCCATTTGTCTATTTGTCTGTCAACAGCACCACCCTTTTTACATATAGAGTCTTCATAGTATGGTTTTATGTCCAGTAGTTTTAATTTTGTTTTTTCATTTTTATTGATAAAAATATTAGCCTAATGAATTTTTCTCTGATTACTGCTTTAAAGGCATCCCGTAGATGCTGATTTCCCCCCCTAGGGTTTTCTTGGCTATTCTTGCGTGTTTGGCAGTTTTTCCACGTGACCTTTAGTATCAACTTGTGCAAGTCTACACTGTAGTCTATTGGCATTTTTACTGGCATTACATTGACTTTATAAGTTAACTTAGGGGCAACTGTCATCTTTCTAATGTTAAGTCATCCTAACCAATAATAGATGCTTTTTCATTTGTTCATTTCTGCTTTCGTTGTCTTGCAAGAATGTTTTACATTATCCTTGTATATATAGGTTGAGTGCAATTACTATTAAACTTATTCCTAAACATTTACTCTTCCTTGTTGCAATGATCTAAAATGGGGTTTTCTCTAACACCTTATTATTTTATATTTCAAGGCAATTTTTGTATGTTAACTTTGTGTCCTACTATTCAATTGATTCTTTCATTGTTTGGGTTAGTTTTATCATTGATTCTCTGGGGGTTTCCAGATATATATTATGATATCTGCAAATAGTGGTAGTTTTACTTCCTTACCCATTCTTACACCTCTGCTTGATTTATCTTTTGTAATTATATAGGGTAATGTAATACGTCTAGGGTAGGGCAGTGGTAAGCAGAAATGGAGACTGGGCATCCTTGCCTTGATTTTAGTGGAAATGCCACTAGTCTTTTCCCATTAAATAAGATACTTGCATTAGGAATAAAGTATGTATATCTTATCATGTTAAGAATATATCTCTCAATTTCTGTTTTCTGTAATTTTTATAAATGGGTTTTAAATTTTGTCCAAGGGTTTTTCAGTATCTGGGTAGATGATCATATGTCTTTTCCTTAGGTTTATTAATATGAAGAATGATACTAGATTTCCTAATATTGAACCCAACTTTCATTTCTGGAAAAAATCCTACTTGGTCATGGTGTGTGGCTTCTTCCTGTGGTGTTAGATTCTGCTTGTTAATGTTTTATTTAATATTTGTGCATTGATATTCGTGAGGGATACTGGTCCGTGGTTTTCTTTCTTAGTTCTTCTTTATCTGGTGTATCAGTATTACACTTCTTCATAAAAGGACTTGGGGAGGGTGCCTGGGTGGCTCAGTCGTTAAGCATCTGCCTTCGGCTCAGGTCATGATCCCAGGGTCCTGGGATCGAGCCCCGCATC